GACAGCAGGGGTGGTGAGAGAGAGAGAGAGAGGGGGGGGGAGAGGGAGAGCGGAAGAGTTGGAACGATGCGAAGAGAGAGAGAGAGAGAGAGAGAGAGAGAGAGAGAGAGAGAGAGAGAGATGGATGGATAGATAGAGGTAGAGAGAGGGGGGGGGGAGGGGTGAGAAGAGGACAGCGGTATACGTTTATTGGGAAGCGAGTCTGGCATTTGATTCGAGAATGTGCCACGGGTATACTGGAATCTGGACTGGCCTCGTGTTGAGGGCATTATAGTCGGGTTGTAGGTTATTAGGTGCGCCGGCTAATAGGCATCGATATAGCGTATTAATGGCAGGTAACCGGACGGTGATAATGGGTATCAAAGGACAGTATTGCGAGAGCGACGCGGTCCGATGAGCGTGAGCGATGGGCTTTTACTTGCCGCGTTTTATGGAAAAATATAACATAATGCTATTAGTCTGACGCAATCCGGATACGCGCGTCCCTAATGCGTGTTTGCGTTTTTCGAACGACGACCCGAGCGAGAGAGACTTCCATCAGCCGGCGTGTGACGCACGGTTGAACATAAATCCCTGAAAAATCTGTAATCACCGTCGAGACTAGCAGAATTCGAAGCTCTCTTGCCTCCCTCGCGTGCTCTCCCCGCTCCTCTTTGCCTCTTCGCACTCTCTCTCTCTCTCTCTCTCTCTCTCTCTCTCTCTCTCTCTCTCTCTCTCTCTCTCTCTCTCTCTCTCTCTCTCTCCCTCTCTCTCTTTCTTCCTCTCCGTAAACAAGTCGAGGTGCCGTAACGAGGCAGACTACGAATTCACTACTGATCATCCACCGACCGGATCGCGATGTCGGGGACATGCACTGTGCGGGGAAGAAGAATGCGCGAACTCGCGCACCGCGATTTTTCCTGACTCGCCGGCTTTGCAAAGAGAACGCGCGCGCGCGAGCCGTAAGATCGCACATAACTCTCCCCTTTGTCGCCGTGCCGAACTTAACGTACGAGCGCGTTTCTGACGAGAGAAGACTCGCGAAAGAGAGACAAGCCGGCGAGAGACAAAAGGGCGTAGACGACGGCGGGCGGAGGGGGGCAGAGCGTGGGGCAGAAAACGATCGGGGGCAACGAGAACGGAAACAAAAGCGACGCGGGGCGATACGCAGTATGGCGACGCTTCCGGCTCGCTCACCGCACACAATGCACTCTCTCGTGTTAACTTCTGTACCACGTTGCTCGGTCTCTCTCTCTCTCTCTCTCTCTCTCTCTCTCTCTCTCTCTCTCTCTCTCTCTCTCTCTCTCTCTCTCTCTCTCTCTCTCTCTCTCTCTCTCTCTCCCTCTTCCTCTCCCTCTCTCTCTCTCTCTCCTCGTTTCTCGCCTGCCTCACCTCGTTTCACCTCGCTTCGCCTCGCCTCGCCTAGCCTCGTCTCGTCTCACCCGCGCCGCCTTTCCCGCATCTCGCGCCGCGCGCGCGTTCCTCTCTCGTGTACCTCATCTACCCTCGCGGCGAAAGGCATACATCCCCCCGTTTCAACTCCCCGTGAAAACCCTCGCGATTCCGATATACGCGACTGCGACGTGTGTCACTCTCTCGAGCCGCCGTTAATCGGAATCGAAGTCGCGCTTGTTCCTTCGACGAGCCACACGGAGCAACAAGTTAAATATCCAGGAATTTTCGCCGATTCTCCACGCGGTTACACCGGATGCAGCGAGTTCCGCGGCGTTCTTCACCGTTGCTTCTTTTACATCGAACAGTCCCCGTCGTCCCCGTCGTTTAATTCAACTTTCTTTTTTGTCTCGAGAGTAAGAATCGAATGTAAACGCGCTGTCGTAGTTATTAACGTGATGTCGCAATTAGGAGCGTCGAGGATAATCAAGACTGGTAATTCCGGTGTTGACGCGCCACTGCCGGCAGTGGGCGTGCGAGCTTTCACAAAATCCGAGCCGCGACATCGCACACGACTCTCTCTCTCTCTCTCTCTCTCTCTCTCTCTCTCTCTCTCTCTCTCTCTCTCTCTCTCTCTCTCTCTCTCTGTAGTCTTTGACACGGGGCATGCACTAGAAGATATTAAAACAGTGCGAGAGCGAGACGCTTTTGCTGGGCACTGGCAAGGAAACGGAAGCCTAACGCGCGCGGGGATGTTTTAAGAAATTAGTCCTCGGCGCTGTGTGTCGCAAAATGACACGATTTTATGGCTACGTTTGACCCTTTCGCCGAGAGTGGCGTTATTAATTACTTGTGTCGTCTCTCTCGCGCAGTCGGCGCCCTCCTGCGCGGCAAAACAATACCCAGTTAACGCTCAAAGCTTTCGTCTTTCCGCGACACATCAAACGCTGCTAATTGCAGATGTTCGATACATGCGCGCAATATGTTGAAATTTAACAAACTAAACACACTAAAGTGCCTGCCCATCCTGTATGTATAATAAATAATGATTCAATGAAAGTCCCTTTATTTCATTTGTAAAAGAGTCGCACAAACGAACAAAAGTTCCCGTAAATTTTTCAAACCGAACTTTGCACGGCCAAACCCGACGATGCTCTCTCGTATTTCTCTGTTCGGATTTTCCTGTAGATGCAAAACGACGGCTACAGAGGACTGTGAGAACGCGACAAAAAAAGGGGAATCTAGCGTAAATTTTCAGCCACCGCGAATTTAGCCGTTCAGAGGCGACCACGGTTCCAAGGATAACTTTGAGCGTGCGAAAGCAATAAAATGATAGGACAAAAAATTTCTTACCGCTACCGAAGAATTGCAGTGTCAATCGTGAAAAGATGCTACAGTTTTAACGGGCAATAAAAGTTTGGAAACTGTGAAATTGCACTTCAACAGATTTCATTGATGACCTTTATTTCGCCGACGATGCTACTGCTGAAAAAGTGCCGAGTCTGCGAAACTGTAAGAATGTAGCACTGTAGCGATCCTAGGAAAATTCGTGCCACCAGTGATCAAAGAAACCATCGTACGTGGAGGGGGGGGGGAGGGGGGAGTTAAGGACACATGACGCTCGCTTATCAACCATCCGGAAATATGCTTATTCTCATATCGTTTCCATTGCACGCGACAGAGTCATTTCCTTCGTTACGGCCATCGCAAGATGACGTAAAAGTTAATTTCGGAAAAGTTAATTTTTGATGCCAGAAGACGACAAATGTCGCCTTACGTCTCTCGCGTCTCCAGCCGCCGCGAACAACCGTGGGGTTCTCAATTTTCGCTCAAGTGCAAAATCGTGATTGTCTGATTGGAAACGCGTCAAAATTATCCCGAATATGCATCGCAATGATGCATCGCTAGCATCTAGCGCGACTCACTGAATCCATTTCGACGAAGTAACAATTTTGACAATACAACGTGTTCATAGCGTGAGAAATAGCGGGAGCGAACAGTAGATTTATTAGGCATTCTGGGAAAAATTTTCCTTAAATATCCAAGATTACAAGAGAGTGAAGGAATGGAGATGAAAAAGAGAAGGAATATAGAGCGGGGCGGGCGGCAAGAACTAAAGATATTGTCGAACAATAGCGATACAATTTTAGTACCTCAATAACCTTGGCAAAACATACAAATCTGGAGCGTGGTAACCCTTTCGTCATAAATCTTGCCCAAACTCCCAGAAATATCGATCCAGAAGATCGACAAACGATTTGACCTCCAAAAGAGACAAGCGTTTAACGATACAGAGCCGTGGAAAAATGCCTAGAATTGGTTCATCTATTTTGCGTGAAAATCGTCGAAATAAATGACTATGCTCAGCACTAAATTTCCCATGGTTACTTCTCGGTGTAAACCGTCCGCTCCCTCGTGTGAACATTCTAAATCCGTTACCCTTGTTAAGGGCCACACGTACCGCACAGGCCCAAATGGACACCCGATGCGAGACCGTTCCAAATGTTTGTTCAAATACTGAACGAATCTATGTCTATTCAACTGCACACACATTGGATAATGATGAAGCGATAACGCCGTTTCGATATCTACAAAAATATTACATGGCATTATTTAATACACCTTTTATTACACCGTATTTCAACGTATGATTTTTGTAGGAATTTAACGCTGTTTGCGTTGCGCGTTAACAATCGAATGAAATTTCGCGAAAACGGATTACCGCTGATTTTTCCCCACCAAGATGTGATACCTCGCGCTCGTTTCTTTCCAACGGAGAAAGGCCCTGTAAGATATTATCCCTTTTACAGAATACACCATTGTTACACGGAAACACGTGGCATTAGATCGCAAACAACCGTTGCAGGACGCGTGGAGAGCGTTCGACAGACGTACGCAGGCATGCCGCGCGAAGAGGAAGCAGTAGCCTTGGAGGTCAAGAAACGCGTGCGGCTCCAGGAGTGTGTCGGGTCGTAGGTCGCGCGAGTGGGGTTGTCCGAACACGTGCGCATGAGAATTTACGTCGTTATATAAGCGTGGCGTAGGTGGCTCGGTAGGTAGAAAGGTAGTGACGAGGGCGAAACTACGGCCAGCATGACGAGGAGAGCAGAAGGCGAAGGCGGAAAGATCGAGGAAGGGAGACGCGGACGGAGCGTCAATGAAGAGAGACGATGAAGATAGAAGGAGAAGAAGAGATGACGCAGGGTGAGAAGGAAAGGGAAAGATGAATAGAGAGGGAGAGAGAGAGAGAGAGAGAGAGAGAGAGAGAGAGAGAAACAGAGCGCGAGAGAGTGAGGAAGAGAGAGAGAGAGAGAGAGAGAGAGAGAGAGAGAGAGAGAGAGAAACAGAGCGCGAGAGAGTGAGGAAGAGAGAGAGAGAGAGAGAGAGAGAGAGCGCGCGCGACCGAGGTCGAGTGAGGTACGTTAAGGAAGAGCGGAGGCGCAAGCCACCCTTCGCGAGCCAGGCGGCAGGCAGGCAACCCCTTTCGCAAAGCACCCCCTAAGCCTGGTTAGGGGCGAAGGCGGCGAGCCGCGGAGGCCACAACACGACCGCCGTCCTCATTGGTCGACGCGCTTGCCCTGGGTGGGGCTCCGGAAAAATTGGAGGGGAGAAAAATCCCCTCTAAATAGCTGCGGCTACGTTCGCTAAAAACTAGAATCCGCTCAGCCGGCATCGGGTGCACGTCGATTCGGTTCGAACTTTCAGTACAACCGAAAAGTTCAGCGTAGTAGGATCTGCAGAGGCGAAACTGTAAGCCCGACGACGAGTGCGGAGCAGTTTCTTTTTTTTTTTCGCCAGGCAAGACACGGAGGGGAAATGATGTGTGTAACGTTTTAGGTTAAATGTGACGACAGTGGATTGCGGGCAGAGCAGTGATCGTAAACGTGAGCGACATAGTGTTCGCGTTGGTGTACTAGTTTCGTTGAATATCCCGCGTATTTATCATCCTTTCAACACGGAGGTCCGCTAGAATTAGCGGGAGGATGCCGGAAGGTCCGGTTAGAATGGAGGACTATAACACGATTCACGATGCACTACGAAACTATCACGGTGATCTGGTGCAAACGTGCAGCCCCGCCATCATGTGCACCACGCTACCACCGCACTGGAGGTCGAATAAGTCCCTGCCGGTACCGTTCAAGGTCGTAGCGCTCGACGAGATCAAAGACGGCACCATAGTCACCATCAGGGCCGGTAATGAGGACAATTACTGTGCCGAACTGAGAAATTGCACGGCTGTCATGAAAAGCCAGGTCGCCAAGTTCAACGATCTTAGATTCGTTGGTCGTAGCGGAAGAGGTACCTAAGAACTTGTGTCCACTGCATGACACTACAGTATGTTAGTACTTGCATATAACTATCTACGAAAGAAAGTAAAATTTGGTCGATGCGACATGGAAACTGAGTTTCTAACATGTCGTAAATCACCTGACGTCCCGTCGTCTGAAGAATAGACGACGGAAAGTGTCTCAATCTTTAGCTACTATTGTAAACAGAGTAACATAGAAGACACAAAATACACAAATTCTCTCGGCACACATTACGTCTCTAAGCCGAAAAGCAATTTTAGCAATTTTTAAATGAAACGGATTTTTAAATGGAACGTAAAGTTGCGATCATATTGCGAAAGAAACATCCTGCTAGGAAAATGAGTTGTGTGTTTTGAGAAACTATGCCACATGTGACACAAATTTTAATGCCCCACTGTAACGATTGCATTTACCAGATGAAGAATTTGCTCCATTGAACGCAATACATGTCCAACTTAACTTCAAACATCAGACCCAACTTTCCGATTAATTCAAACGTATTTTTATCGCGCAAAAAAGCGTTAATCGTGAGTTAATCGTAGTCATTCGAGTATCGCGACAGTACCGTAAGATTAGAACAAGAACTTTAAAGATGTCCAGATGTACTTCGTGTACTAGAATCAACGCAAATAAACAAAGAACTGTGATTATCCTTTACAGCCCGAAATTAAGACACGAATTAATCGCGTGAGCTGATCGGGACATATCTCATTTTTTATTTGCAGGGAAATCATTTTCGCTGACTATTCAGATCGGTTCGACGCCGTTCCAAGTAGCCACGTATACCAAAGCCATCAAAGTCACAGTAGATGGCCCAAGAGAACCACGATCCAAGTCAAGTATGTTAGAGGATAATCCGTATAAACAATGTATGTCGTTCATATTTATTCACCGAGTACATCGAGATATACCACCGTCGGCAGACAATTTTTTTCAACCTCCGTATCTAAAAAAAAAAAAAAAGAAAAAAATCGCTCGTTTCGCTATAAAAAATATCATATACCATCCGTGTGGTGGACTCGCTTGAATATATTTTGTTAGATATATTCCGCGCGAAACGCAACCGTCTCTCGCGCAAAGAAGGTTCACTACGACCGATAAAAAAAAAGAAAAAAAAAAAAACAAAGAAAATCAGCAACTCGCACAAGCTTCGCATGGATTCGTGACGTCTCTCACGGCCGGTCCCGCGAGCTGGTACCCGTTCGTAAAAGTAACGCAGTAACGACGTGAGGCGTCGGAGCCGAAGCGACGTCCCGGGCGAGTGACGTCGGCCGCGAAACGCGGGATCGAAAGGTGCGGCAAATGGGACATTATTAGAAGGAGAGGGGGGGAATTGTCTGGTTGGCAGGTCCAAAGTCGTCGGAAGCCCCGCGACCACCGTGGAATCCGCAAACGGGCGTCGGAGCCTCGCGGGCGTTTAATAATCCGGCGTATATCTGGCGGACCTCAAACCGCGAGGTAGTGGCGGTGCCGCTGAACGGTGCCTGCCTGCCTGCGAGCCCTCGACGCCGAGCGTCGCTCGCACGTGCAAGAGCGAGCGCGCGCGCGCGCGCGCACATGCACGCCGCGCAAGAGCACATGCAGGACACACACACGCACACGGACACACACGCACAATTGTGCACGGGCCGCGGCATACATCTACTCGCACGTGCATGCACACGCACACAGACACGTACGCAAGCGCGACCACAAGCGCGCACACACAGGCACACACCCACCCACGCGGAGACCTGGCATTGTGTCAAGCCGCGAAAACGCGATCTTCGTCGTCGTCGCGCCGCCGCCGCCGCCGCCGCCGCCGTCGTCGTCGTCGCCGCCGTCGGCGTCGCCGCCACCATCGGCGCGTTCTTTAGCTACCGCGTTTATTTTTCCCGAAACTCCGGTTGGTCGCCGTGGCCCACTAAATCGGACTGTTTATCGGTCGGCCCCCGAGAGCAAAGGAGAGTCGGAAGGGGTCGCGGGGAATACACCTCCGCTGCCGGCGGAGGATGCAAACCGACGTCGACAGCGGCGACAGGGATACAGAAAGAGTGTATGTGCCTGAGAGAGAGAGAGAGAGAGAGAGAGGGATGGAGGGAGATGGATGCCTGGCAAAAGAAGCCGCGTTTACGCGTTTGTTTATCGCGCCGCATATGGCGGTAGCATGTGCCGCGCCACGAAAACCCGCGCCACGTCGTATAACGGACTTTATGCCGCGCTCGTATAAACAGAGATACACTAGCTGCTCCTCCGGATCGTCCGGGAGAGCGCCGTTAATCTTCGCTTTATAGGTCTTGGGTGGCCGTGTCCGTGTTCTTTCCTTTTTTATTCTTTTTTTCGGCTGTTTGTCCGTTCGTTAGTCGCGCCACCGACTTCATCGCCGGGCAGAAAGATCTTGTAACGGGTTTACGCGTTTTTTTTTTAATTTTGACGGATTTATTAACGCGCGACCGCGCGATATACATTGCGAGCGAGCGAGCGAGCGAGCGAGCGAGAGAGAGAGAGAGAGAGAGAGAGAGAGAGAGAGAGAGTGAGAGAGAGAGAGAGAACGAACCATGATCGCTGGCGCGAATCCGAGTTCTCCTCCGCAGATGATGAGCGATCACAGCGAGCCGAGACGTAGAGATCGGACAAAACGGCGCTATCTATTTTTGTCACTCGAGTACGTTCGTGTTAGTATATTGATGCGCATCCGATTCGTTTTACAGATTATCAATATGGCCCGGGATTCCCTGGACTGGGCTTACTCAACCCCTGGTTGGAAGCCACGTATCTCGGACACCCCTGGTCACACTTAACGCAACCTGTCCTAATTAAAGGTAAGTGCGCCGTCAAGGTTCCGGGAATGCGAACTCGTTATTATCTCTCACGCGGGAATGTCTACTCGTCGGGAAGGGAAAGTTTGTTTAAAGTAGAAACTCGGAGTTGAAAATAGCTGTTATTGCTTTGCGTGTGCAGAAGAATCGTGGATGGTCAAAAGCGTATGCATGGTAATAATTAATAATAGCGTAGAAACAGTAATGGTTACAGTAGTAAAATCAGTAGCAGTAGCAAATTAGCGCATAATTTTGCCCCCGTTATGAACGAGACCGTATATATATCTCTTAGAAAATCGCTCTCGATAACCAGTGGCAGCCTATTTTCGAATTTCCATCCCACCGACTGATTTCCTTTCAGTTTACCATAAATTGCGAGTCGCACAGAAGCACGCGCGTACCACGTCTCTCGCATTGTCTTCCTCTTCTACAAATCCTACCATAAATCGTAAAGTCGCTGCGCGATCCGAAAAAACAAAAAAAAAAAAAAAAAAAAAGAAGCGAGAAAAAACGGGAGAAGAATCGAGCGGGAAAAATCTCTGTGCATCACAGAGCACAAAAAAAGAGTCTCAAAAGAGAGACCGCGCGCCGGCTAGAGAGAGAGTTCGCGTTATCGATTTCGTCGAGTCCGCGACGCCTGCCGATGATTCATACCCCCTAGCTGGACCTAGGGGTGAGTCTGAGCTCCCTTTTCCCACAGCGGACCCCTCTTTGACCCCCTGCCGTCTCACCTCTCTCTCTGGCCGCCGCTCGCGCGCACGTTCCCGCCGTCGTTGAAACAACAATGCGACTTACTACTACGTTCGCCCCCGCGAGCCGGCCGAGATTAACCGATTCTCTCTTCGTCATCGTTCAGGGTCCCTGCCGATACCACCGCACCCGGACTTGTTCGCGGGATTCACGCCGCCAGTTGTTCCGTCGTATCCGTTTATACCGTCGTATCCATCAACAACCACCTACGAAGCGACGACATGTACGACGACGACGACGACGACGACGACGACGACCACGACCACGACCACAAACAGTCCGTCCAGAAGCGCATCGTCGCTGAGCCCTGGCAGTGGGTCCAGCAGCGGGTTCAGCAATGGGTCCGAAGGAGCAAAAGGTACGTGCGGTGAAGAGGCCCGAAGTGCCTTCATACGCATCAAACTTAACGCTGCTGTGCCGCCGGGATCATCCGCGACGCCTGAACGAAATTCATCGTCGCCCGACAAAGATAGCAGTGACACTAAACAAACGAAGGTGCCGAAGCCGGTGTGGAGGCCGTACTAATCCAAGTAGACGAGTGTGGCACGGCAACGATACTCGATTCGAAGCACGAAGGAACAAAACGGTGAGCAAAAGTCCCAATCGTACTTATCGGTCGGCAATTGTCGCATATTGCATTACAAACCAGTGCAGTACCAGACGCGCATATACATACAGTAAACACAACGTGTAATGAATATTGATGTAAATGCTAGCGCGAGATAACGCGAAAGATCGAAATTCAAATGTGTGGTCCAAACGATAAAACAAACGCAACCATAAAAACAACGGGAAAAAAAGAACTTCCGCCGAGAGCGGAATACGCGCGGCTAGCGAAACGGTAACCACGGAATGAGAGACTCCCCAAGCTCCTCTAGTGAATGAACTCTGTTCTGATTCTCTGATAACAATCGAAAAATCTCTCCAATCTTTTAAAAAGCGTCTTAAGGAGAATCAACACTTGCGATACGATTTTAATGTGTCGGCACACTTTGAGGCGCAGGTGTACCAACGGATGAGAGAAAGCTCGTACACAATCAAATTGTGTCGAGTTTTCTTCAGTTCAGCTCAACACATTTCTCGGCATCGCAGCGACTGTTTATCATAGGGTGAATTGTTGTAGGACGAATTTATATATGTACATATTGCTGAAGAGGATCGCTTGGAGACAGACCGCTCCTCTAATGTTTGGCCTTGCTACAATAAACGATAGTTGCACGGACAATTACGATGGGACTCTGGGTTAGCCATTTTATTTTCCTTCATGTTCTGAATTGTCATCAAGAGCCCCGTACTATACCATTTATGCGTATAGTTGCGCTGGAAGGCTAGTGATAATGTCTACGACAGACATCCTGAGCGCGACCCGTCCTCGGGATTCAAAAAGAAAAATTCCCCAGTATAAATGACAATTTCTTGTTCTCTTCATCGTTCGCTCGAGTGTGTATTCTGCTCTTCGGTTTTACGAAGATACGAATGGTGTGCACACCTGAAGGAATGTGACGCGAGAATAATGGTAAACACACACAGTGGTACGACCGAAAAAATCGGTCGAAGCCTAAATGTCGTTCACAGTAAGTTTTTTTCTAAATGTAAATATATTGTATATACTCGGCTTGTACATATCGTGTAGATAGTTCATGGACAATAATATACAGGGTGACCCGATAAAAGATGCAGGATTTAAATCTGGCACTGTTCTCGTTGTGTGAACCGCAGCGCCGCGATTCTTCGTCCGTTGTGTTCTGAAGATTAGGGAATATCGAAATGTGGAGCTGCTGCCGCGTGCAGCAGCACATGCAGTGTTTTTTAGGAAAATCAACGTTCGATAACGCAAACAAAACGCAAATTTCGCGACTTTTTTTTTTTTTTTTTGAAAGAAAATATTTCGTAATCTGACGATTCGCAAGTTAAGAAATTTGAAAACGAAGGTTTAGTTTGTGCGCTTATATAGTAACGCCGTGATGCTCGTTCAATAGAAAACAATGCGGCCGCTGATAAGAGTGTAGAGAATGCTCCGTAAATGTCAATTCGATGTCGTTCGCAACGAGCTAGCCTTTCGTACGGCATTACGCAACGAATTTTAACAAAAGACTTGCAATTACACGCATGCAAAGTTTCACCGTGCGCAGTTATCGCATGAGAGATCTTCTGGTCGCATTATCTCGCGAAATGGTGACTATGGTCAACTAGTCCCCAAGACGTTGCAACTTGACGCCTCTAGACTATTCTGTTTGGGATTATTTAAAGGAGTTTATACCTGAAACTACGGAGCGCTTAAAGGAAAATATTCGACGAGAAATTGACGAAATTCAACCATTTTATGTTGCAAAAAATTATTGAAAACTTCACTAGACGAGAGTAGTAACTCGTAAAAAAAAGATAGAGGCGGTCATTTACATGATGTTGTTTCTCATACGTAATTCCCATTCCTAACGAACACATTGGCGTAATAAAAATGATAATTTCCAGGTAAACTGTCGTTGTTTCATTTACAAAACAAATCCTGCACCTCTAATTGAATCACCCTGTAGTATACAGTACCGCGTTACACAAACTGTATGTACACTACCGTCTCGGAATGTTCAAAAATATACCATTTAAGATAAATAAATATTTTTTCAAACCATTTTCTTTCCTAAACAATTTTTCACCGTACGACTCGAATCGATGCGTACAATTAGTTGTCGCAATAAATTTGGAAGGTAGTACATGAATTGATATTGAGAATTGTTTTTGTATCAAGACAATTTATTCCAAGGTTTGCACCTGAATCGATCGCAATAATCGTTACGTTGATATCTCTAAGGAGCTATTGTGAAAATGTTGGAAAATTTCAGTCGTAAATTCCAATACAACTGACATTAGCTTAGAGTCGCGATCAAAAAGATTTCCATAAGGTATTATGAATAGGAGGTATCCTATTACTTCGAGAAACTGAAACTATGGAGCTTAGAAACGATTTTACGCATAGATCTCGGTAGGACTCAAACATAGCAGAAGAGGTCCAAACATGGTCATAAAGAAAGGTCATGAGAAAGGTTGTGTGTGAATCCACGTGAAAAGAAGAAACCCATTGAGGAAAAAGTCAACGTCAAAACGCCGTCTTTTAGACATTCTTTGTAGCAACAAAATTTTAGACATTCTTTGTAGCAGCAAAAATCACCGGAAAGAAAAGGGTCATATAAATGTGGAACTATTCATTTTGAAACTCATTCAAAAGTCCTCGATGTTGCCATATTCGCATGAAGCTGTTTGCCGCTACCTAACGAAGACGTCTTGTTTCACTATCTTTACTATGTCTCTCACTACCTGAGATGGAAAACTTAAAGCTAATCTCAAGCTGGCAATTTCACATATTTATTCCGTGTCCCACACGGTAGTGTACATATGTATACTGAGTGTGCATTTGCAAAAGGGTGGATATAAATAAATTCAAATATCGTTGTAAATGGTACAGACTCTTAGATGTACAATCAATGAAAAGGAAAACCCACCTACGAGAGAGCATAAACCGCAAATACTAATAACGCATATGTATATGTTGATGACGGAACTTGTAAAGATAAATGTTTCAAAGCGTGTATGCACCAAACGTTTCGGTTCGCACTTGGAAACCCTATGGATAATTTTCTACCTCTCTACCCTCTCTAAGCCCTCCTTCCTTTTCGTCGATTGTCAAAAAAGGATAACTATAAAACTGGCAGAAGTGCTAAAAGTGTAATTTAATGTAAATTGGTTGTATGTGCATCTAAAAGAATGCAAGAAGAAGAATAAAATGGAACTCTACGTAAAAATAACTGTGTCAATCTCCATCGTATTTAATCGCGCATCGTCCTTCTTCTTCTCACCTAATCCACCTATTCTCAGCTCCGCTAAAATTTCTGTTTAACGATCGATCACCGCTATATCGCGGGAATGATCGAGGTCGCCGCTCGCGCTCGCGTCATTCTCGAAAGTGTCAAAAAAGTCGTCGAGCGATTCAGACGTTGCGAGGCAGAAAGGAAGAGTATGAAAGAGAGCGGGACGCGTCGTGCTCCGTGCCGCTGCAAGGGGAATCCATATTTTTTTTGTCGCGATTTAAATCTGAATGGTCGCCGTACCGCCGCGCGGTCGTCCCGACTTCTTCGTGTGTGCGCGTGCTCTGGGGATTTCATACACAAGTATCCTCACACAAGGGAATCCCGAGCATAAGGGTGGAGAATGGTTTATATCGAGGGGAGTGTGTGAGATCTGTATTAGTACCTATAGGCTCAGGACATCAGCGGTTCTCAAGTTTCGAGCCTCCCAGACGGGGAATCCGACGGGGGTCAGTGATTCTTCGCGCGAGATCTCAGAGGACATCCGCCGCGCCGCGCCGCGCCGCGCCGCGCCGGCTCGGCGCGGAGAGACGAACGATTTTTCGCCGAATAACCGCGCGCCCAAATGTTTCTCGCTCCTCGTTCCTCATAAAAACGTAAACACGTCGCTCGCTCGACGACGCTGGGCGACGTTCGGTCTATTCAGCGAGAGATATCGCATAACGCGAAACGTCCGTCGGGACTGTGCTGCATCACGCTGAAACACGACCTGGGGTAAGGGATAGTTTTTTTTCTGAATTGTTCCGGTCGTGTTTGTCAACTGGTGCACAGAGTTCGAGCGCAGTTAATCTCGGTGACGTCGAATAACTCAATTTTCGCATTCCGGCTGCAGGTGCGACATATACGCGCGAGAGAGCGGGCGAGCGAGCGAGCGCGAGCGCGCGCGCGCGCGCGCGCGCACGTCGTCGATATGTACCTTTGGATCGAAAATGTTGCAGAAATTCGATACGCGGCGCGTAAACGCGTCGACACGATGTAAAATCTTGATCAGATCGCCTTGATTAAAAATCGGCCGCGACCTGAACTTCCAAAAGTCACCGACAACGGTCGCCGCCGTCGCATCGACGGCGATCTCTCTCTCTCTCTCTCTCTCTCTCTCTCTCTCTCTCTCTCTCTCTCTCTCTCTCTCTCTCCCTCTTTCTCTCGTAGCTTTCGCGCAGAGTTTAATGGGATTAGCCCCGGCGAGAAAATGAGAACCGCGTTGACACCCCGTGTGTGTAGTCGTGGGGCTCTGTTCGTTGACGAGTAGACAACGGAACCAAGCAACCATGAAGGGTCGCCGCACGAACCGAGCGCCGAACCGATCCAAGCCAATCCGGCGCGCGAGCCAGCCGGCGCTAACTAATGTTTGCTCAAAGAATCGTCATGTATAATTGAGTCAGCGGCGGCAAGGGTGGAAAAAATCAACGGGCGTACGTGCGGATCCCCGGGAATGAATAATCGACTTTCGGTGTACGCGGACCTCCGCGCGCTCGCGTTTCCAGGTTACAAAACCGCTCTTATTAGGAGGATCGTTCGGCGTTTTGTGCAACGGTGATGAATGGTCGCGCGCCTCGAACCGCCGCGCCGCGCCGGGTGATCCTCCCGAACGACCGGACGCGAGCCCTCCGCCGCTCGGGGGAGAGGGAGACAGGGGAAAATTAAAATTTCTCGAGATAATTACGTTAATTATAGCAACGAAATTGGCATGTATATTTCCGCGCAAAATTCTTGTAACGATCCAGCTCGCGCGCATTATCGAATATGAAAGATTCATACGGCGCGAAGTAAAAATTTCAATAATACATACATGTGCGTGCGCGCACGCGCGAGTCTACGCACACACACACACACACACACCGAGCACGTCAAATAAAATTCATTTCGATTATTCAGTATGTCGAAATAAAATCGAATTATTTTAACTATTCCAATTAGCCGGACGCACGCGGAGATCGACGTGTGTAACCGGTCGAGCGAGGAGGACCACGGGGCTTCCGCGAGCGATTGAAGTATAATGCGACGCGCGGAAGGAGCGGTTGATTCGCTTCGTCGACGTGGCAGATGGGGGGAGGGGGGAGGGAGGAAGGAAGGGGGGAGAGAGGGAGAGAGAGAGAGAGGATGTCGATCCTCTTCGCCGGCCGGTCTAGGATCGTGAGGACCCTGGGGTTTGAGGGTCCTAGAGTTAGGCAATCAGCGCTGATGAGGGGGCTGGTCGAGGGGTGAAGGGCTCGGACAATTAGTAACTACCCCGCGCCCGTCCGCGCCCTCTCGCTGTGTGTCGCTCCCGCCCGGTTCACCTGCCCAACAACGCGCCGACCGCAGGCGTTACGCATGCGAAAGAGGCTGCGCTGCCGCCGGGCGGGTTCGGGATGCTGCGTTTACGTACGTAGGTCGCGCGCGTTGTACGCGCCGGATTACGCGCTCGTAAAGGTCTCTCTTCACGGCTGCGGAGGCAGTGTCAACGCGGTCGCACGAGGTAAATTCGTCAGGGCGGGGGTTTACGTCGATAATAAATGGGCCGCCATCCGCGAAAGAGAAGCGACGGCTCGTATCTCGCGGCAAATGCGCAAAATACATTGTCGCGATAGTTTACACGAGCGAGCGAGCGAGCGAGCGAGAGAGAGAGAGAGAGAGAGAGAGAGAGAGAGAGAGAGAATTCGCGTAGAAACTCGAACCTATTAGCAATTTCAATCGTCAAGCACTCAGCCACGCGGCTTAAATTCGCCGACTCCGTGTTGTTTTTTCGCGGATAATAGTCGAATTTCTCAAGGAACGCGCTCGCGCGCACCATGTCGGAAGATATCTCCTTAAAATGAACCGCCGCCGCGCGAGAGACGACGGTACAATAAAACAGAAATGGACGGAAGGACGCGCGCGTCCGCAGCGCTCCTCAAAGGATCTTTATCGTCCCCGCGAATCCTTCGAACTAGTCTAAAAAAGAATCATCCCCACCCAGGCGCGCGAGTCCTCCCTTGAGCGGTACACTAATTGTTCCTAGGATGAAACGTGTCGAGGATTACACGGTGTTTGGCCGGTGGGAGCCGGGAGGGGGGCGTGCGGCGGGAGAGACCGCGGAAATAATAAGCCTCTTTCGAGAGGCTTTCAACAACAACGACGCCGCCGCCGTCGCCGCCGCTACCGCCGCTGCTGCCGACGACGACGACGACGACGACAACAACGAGGAGTAGAACGACCACTCTCTCCTGTCAACCCTCCCGACGACACAACGACGACACAACACAGAATCGCCGTCTTCGGGAGGCGCCCCCGCTCCTCGAACTTAACGTCTTTTACGTCGCGGCTGCACGCCCGCGCGCGGTCGAAGATAAAGACGGACGCGACGTCGCGCGACCTTAGGAGAGAAACCTTCGGTTAACGAGCTGTTTTGCATCGCAATACCTCGACCTCGTTATCGGTTATCGACCCGTTGCCGCGGCGGCCGTCGCGGATTAAAGAGTACCTGCGCCACAGTCACGTGCACGTCGCCGGTGGGTGCGTTCACGCACGCGTTCGTCCCGTCGAGGCGCGGTCGCGTTTGACCGTCGATCGGAACCGAGAGAGAGAGAGGGGGGGAGGGGGGGGGGAGAGAAAGAAAGAGGGGCGGGGAGAGAAGGGAAAAGAGCCGTCCGTTCGTCCGGTGAAAAGGCGAATCGTTTCGCGGGAACCGTCGATTTTCATGGCCGCGTTCTCCACGCTAAATCGGCGCGCGGTCGCGCTTCGCGGAACGCGGATCGATCTTGCGCCGCGCGCGTTTGTTTCCGAGGGAAAACTTGTTCGCTCGTGGCGAACGAGCGGCACACACAGGTGCTTTTGTTCCTTTGCGTGTTGGAATTTTTCGTTCGCCCACTCGCGCGCTCGCTCCGACCGCTCACTACGCGATTCTTCTTTTGTTTCGCCGTCGTTCCCTCGCTCCTTTTTCCTCCATCCGCAGTATCGCGGAACTACCCGGCGCCAATCGGTGCTGACGGGATCTTAGAAATCGCTACCACCAGAATCCGACGAGATGCGCCGCAAACGAGCGGCGAAGCGCCCGCTGCCAAAGGATTTCGTAATGCTTTGTCGAAGAACGCCGAGAGAAAATATTAACATAAATTCATTACGAGAAAAGATTTATGATCCTACTTAAGGTCCGTCTTATCCGTCTGAAAAAATCGTCTCGGTTACAAAGGAAACTCTACTTTACCTGTACGTCCACCGACCTACGTTCTCAAGGTTTATTTAACTTTTCCAGAAGTAAGAAGTCGGTAACCCATACCCAGACCGCCAAAGGCGAGACAAACAAAGAGTTTATCAGTTACCCGCAAAAACGAAACAAAAGACGAAAAAAGATAACGATCTCGTAAAAGTTGGGAACAGTTTAAGGGTGCGATTCAATGGTTTAAATTCTACTCGAATGACATGATTTATGGTGAAATTCAACAAATAGAAAATTTTCGATCTGCCGAAACATCTCCGGCCGAAAGTTTACTTTTACGTTAACGTCGTAATTTTCGTAGGATTCTCAAATTTCGACTCGAGATATAAATGGCGACAGTAGCAAAATAAAGATTTCGTTAATCCTTTGCGCAAATGTATAACTCGGTTACGATAAAGTATACATAACGCGCCAAAACTGCAAAACTTATCCTCTTTCCGCAAGCGTCGCGCGGAGTGTTCATATCTCTTCCAACTTTCACATAAACGAAGTAGGTTCTTCTTTTCCGGCTGGGCGATGCGCGATATTTCCCAAGTTCCTCACGCGTGACGAAATGTATCGTGACCGAACGGAATGAGAGACGGGAAAGGCGATTTTTAGACACTTCGTTTCGTCTCGACGGCGCGTCTCTCGAGACTTTATGATTCTCTTTAGAAAATCATGTAAACTTACTTTAAATCTCCAATCCTTATCTATCAAATTGTTCTGAACAGCAAATTCCCGGCCATCGAAAAATAAATAATATAT